GTTGAAAGCTTTGTAAATGTGTGAATAACACGACCATGCTTCAAACTTGTCCACAACGTTATCCCTGAGCTCTCTGCTGTGCTCCTTGGCCTTCATGATGCTGTTTAGTGAGGCTCCAAGGCTCTGAGGCCCTCACAGAACAGCTGTAGTTAAACTGAGAGGAGATTACACACAGATGGCTTTTATTTCAAGGTTAGGGCAAAGTGTGAACATTCAGCAGGACATTTTACACACTCAGAAAAATGCTGTACGCCCCACTTTGGACTTTTCTGTATTTGTGTATTAGTACTTTCCAGAGGCACTATAGACACACAGATAATCTTCTCCTTTTTCACTTTTTCACAATATTCTAATATGTCGAGCGTGTCGGCGATGCAAAACAAGGCACAAAACATGAGAATATTGGGAATCATTAAACAATCCATTCTGAAAACAACCGTTACTTTATCTACATTTATTACACTCAATGACATATTTTTGATTGTTTTAATTATTTACATTTTCTGAAACTAGTGTCTGTAAAAACCGACTCGTTTCCAGCACAATTCTGCAACAAAATGGTCTTCATTTTGTGACGGAGACAATAAACCCAGACAAAGAGAAGGAGAAATGGGAGCGATGCTGAGCTGAACAGAGCTGTCCTCCCATAAGTACAGAGTCGAAAACACATTCTCAGGAAAACTACCAGAACATTGTTGGAAATAAAGTCCAGTCAAAGCTCTTCACACATTTATTAAAAGTGAATAAATGAAGAGAGCGTTTTCACTTTACGGGATATTCAAGTGTTTGTCTTCTCAATAGTGCCATAGTCTATTCTCCATCAATGCATGAAAGATTATCCAAGAGAAAAAAGCTTTGTCCAGATCTTGCCGCAATGTGACGTAAGCCCGAATCGAGCGAATGCAGTGGGAAAGTGGAATATCCATGTTTTTGTCTTAATAATGATTGGTTTTGTTTTGATGTCATAGCCGCATGTTTCCTTTGAGGCTAAACAGTTGCACCAGAGCTGAGGAGGTGACTCGTACATGTTCACTACTATTTTGGGTCTACACTGTGATTTGATGCTGATCATGAGAGACTACAAAGAATATTTGAACTGCTCTTCAGTCCACATTTGAACTTTCATTTTAAAGTCTGTATTTTAGACGTCCGCCGCTTCTTTTCCATTCAATCCCATGTCCGATTTGGGTTTCCACACTTGATAATGATCATTCCTGTGGCAGTTGGCTGTACATATTGTGACTTCAGTGAGCGACGTGGGAGAAGCGTCTTGCCCAGGGACACCACACAAATATGCACTTGGGTGAGGCTGTTTAGAATGTACAAATGCATTTCATTTTGTTTCACTTCAAAGTCGGAAATGAAGGCTTCGTCTTCCGTTTTGTATTTCATTCAAGTTTCACAAAGTCTTCCTTTTCCTTCTGTTTTGTATTTGTGTCTAGAAATGTCTCGTGTTACAATCTGTCATCTTTGGGAATTCATTGGCGGCTAAATTAAAGCTGGGAGACCTAACTTTTTGTCCTGGTGAATAACACACGTTGTTTTGTCCCGACAGAAAGCGTTTTGTAAAAGCCACATTTTATGAAGTTATCAGACCATTATGTTGTTTTTTAAAATGGTATCAAACATTTTCACAGCTGTCAGAAAGATCCCTGTGAGTCTCTTTTTGACTCTTTGGGCTGAGCGCTGATTGGCCGAGTGAGGGCGGTGCTCTTTCTCACTTTTCTGTCAAAGAATGATGATGTAAAGATGTTACAGAGGCCCTAAAATAAGCAACTGGTGAAATGTGAAAACAGCAGCTCCATTCTTCATCTGTTTTTCTTTTAAAGTTGGGTACCCTGGCTTTAAAAATACACTGTTTTTTGTTGTTGTCTTGGGTCCATCTCAATGTCCTTTGACTTGGAATGTTCCAGAGTATTAACCCACATTGGCAACAACACAAGTGGAATCTGCGGAGAGCCGAGCAGAGCCAATGTAAGAGTTCAGGTGCTGCAGTGAAAACATCTGTGTTGAGATACTGTACAAGTTTTATATCATGCTAAGGTACATTTCAAGCAAAGCAATAACATCTCAATGGCAGCGAGCCACATGATTACCTGCGCCTCTTTAAATATAGCCACAAACGTTTATTCATGAAGCTATATTTTGTCTTTTTGAGCATGGAAAAACAAATGCTCTGTGTAATGTCATGTTGGATAGTCGGATAGATGCTTATTTCCTCTGAGATGTTATTCCTTTGACTGTAATACCCAAACTAAATATAATTATCTTTCACTTCATACAGTTTGTGTTGCTTTTATTAATCCCGTTTCTCCATAAAAATATGTAAACCACCCCCAGTGAGAACTCCCAACAGGCTGATTCTGCCCTATTCACATCATCTGGTCTGTTCTTACAAAATGATAGTTATTTATACAATTTGATTCATTTTTGTTCATACCTGACACTTGTGACTGCAGTCTTCCTCAGTTTTTGCCGCTGTCTTTCTACCACCAGAGACAGGACGACAGCGCCATCTGCTGTACGACTTCTTCAGGACAGAATCCCAGCTGTGTGAGAGTAAAGAAGCCCCCTCGTCCCGGTTTATAGTCCTGAGGGCGCGTTCCCGTATTTCTATTGCCTCTTTGATCCAGCGTGGTGTTTGTTGTCCTCAGCCACTATGATACTTGCTCCGTCCCGATCCATAATGTGGTTCTCTCTTTTACACTGGTCGGAGATGGCAGATCTGAGTGTCTCTTGTTCTTGCTGTGTGTGTTGTGTTGCTTGTGTGTACGCTTTAGCACACAAGCAACACAACACTGGGAGGAAGACTGTGCACCAGCAAAAGTGTCAGGAATGAAAAAAACACTCTGGTCTTAAACAAAGAACCAACTTGTAGAATCTATCAGAGGAGCAACTGAACGTCATTGGACTGATAGCTACTTGATTAGCTTCAAATTAGCTTTGTATTTTCTCTGCAGTCACATGTCCGTTAAGATGTTGCTTTCTCCATGAATGTTTGATATAATCTTACAATAACAGAAAACAGACAAATCACTGGGTTCTCTCCATAAAGATGATTGTGGTCATTTTTACATTTCTTCTGTAGAATTGTGTTAATAACGTCAATACCTGCTTCTTTATTCATCATGAGATTAAAATGGGTTCTGTCTAAATCTTGAGTCAAACTTTGAATCAAGTAAAATAATTCTGTTCAAATGTGAATTATACAAACCAATACATGTTGACGTCGCACATCATATGCTTTAGGCCCAGATTATGTACAAAATAATAGGAAATGTACCAATAAACATCTGCTGTGCCTCTTTTCCTTCCCTTTTGTCCTACATTTCCCAGAATGCCGTTCAGTTTAGAGCAGATTTTTCTTCCAGTCTTTCAGCAGCTGCTTGTTTTTGGACCATCTCCTCACTGTTTGTGTCTCTGTAAAGATGGAAAAGGTTTTTAAAAAGACAAAAACATTCTGAAAGTTGCGGTTTAGTTGAGTTTGGGCTTAAGACTTGTTTCAGTGTCATCAGTTGTTGCCATGGTGACACACTTGTATTATAATGTATTTCCTAAAACCTTTGAAGACTTTTGTTCAATAAAACAAAACTGAAAACAACTTTGATAAACTCTGTGTGTGCGGGCGTGTGTGTGTGTGTACATGTGTGTGTGTGTGCGGGCGTGTGTGTACGTGTGTGTGTGTGTGTGTGTGTGTGTGTACATGTGTATGTGTGTGCGGGCGTGTGTGTGTGCGTGTGTGTGTGTACATGTGTATGTGTGTGTGTGTGTGTGTGTACATGTGTATGTGTGTGTACATGTGTATGTGTGAGTGTGTGTGTGTGTGTATACATGTGTATGTGTGTGCGGGCGTGTGTGTGTGTGTGTGTGTACATGTGTGTGTGTGTGTGTGTGTGTACATGTGTGTGTGTGTGTGTGTGTGTGTGTGTGTGTGTGTGTGTGTACATGTGTGTGTGTGTGTGTGTGTGTGTGTGTGTGTACATGTGTATGTGTGTGTGTGTGTGTGTGTGTGTGTGTGTGTGTATGTGTGTGTGTGTGTGTGTGTGTGTGTGTGTGTGTGTGTGTGTGTGTGTGTGTGTGTGTGTGTGTGTGTGTGTGTGTGTGTGTGTATGTGTGTGTGTACATGTGTATGTGTGTGTGTGTGTATGTGTGTGTGTGTACATGTGTATGTGTGTGTGTACATGTGTGTGTGTGTACATGTGTATGTGTGTGTGTACATGTGTATGTGTGTGTGTGTATGTGTGTGTGTGTGTGTGTACATGTGTATGTGTGTGTGTACATGTGTGTGTGTGTGTGTGTATGTGTGTGTGTGTGTGTGTACATGTGTATGTGTGTGTAAATGGTTGGTAGTGGTCAGAGGGGCTGATGGCACAGACTGGTTGCCTCGCTTCTGTCAGTGTGCCCCAGGGCAGCTGTGGCTACAGTAGTTTATCACCACCGTGTTTGGAGTGAATAAATAATGATTTGTGAATTATCATCGAGAGTCTAAAAAGGTTTATACTTATTATTATTATTATTGTTATTATTATTATTGTTGTTGTTATTGAATGTTTCCCAGAGATCTTTTGTTCACAGGGACACAGCCTCTGGGGCAGAAACACACTCCATATTCCAAACACTAAATCCACTTCAATCATTATTCCAAAACAGCAAATGTGATCAAATTGTCAGTTTTGTGAAGAAGAAACTCGAAGGTAGCATTTCATCATGCTCTTTTTTCACTTCCTCTTATTGATATTTACCCAGAGACAGAATACTGCCATTAATGTATATTATCAATATTTATTTGTAGCGTTTGATACAAAATGCAGAAAAGACTTATTAAAATCACAAAGGGCATTAGCATCATAAATAATCACAGCATTAAAAAGAAGAAGATCCTTCCTTCAGTTGTATTCACAGCGAAACAGAACTGTTTTTAACCCGGATTTCAACGTTACACAAAACATTTGAATACATCCAAAGAACACCCCTCATTTATTCAATTAAAATCATGATGAATGTGTTTCAGTAAGAATCAGGCAGCAACAACAGCAGCTACGTGTCAGAGCAGCGTGGTGACGTCACCGCGCTTCAGACGAAAGTGAAAGTAAATGTCTAGGCTGGGTTCGCTTTAGCAACTACCCTCGAAGATTCAACTAAACCCTGCGTCGTCAAGATCCTTTTGGGGAGAACGCGTCTCTGGCCACGTCTGCGTAAGTAGAATAGTAGTTTATATTTAGTTCAGATGAAGAAAACATCTTTATAAGCTTTATTTTCCTTCACCTTTGACCAGGCCGCTCCCGTTTCAGTCTACGCACTTTTTATCTAACCCTGGGCTTTTAAAACTACAAATATCTTCACAGTTCATTGAGTCACTTTTACTCCTCTTTTATGTCGTCGTTTTCCAACAAACAGTAAAGTTAATCGTCACAGGCCGCTCCCATTTCTGTGTCTTTTGCGCGCTCCCAACCCCTCTGCATGTCCGGGCCCCACTTTGGGAACCGTTGATGTGTGTGTGTGTGTGTGTGTGTGTGTGTGTGTGTGTGTGTGTGTGTGTGTGTGTGTGTGTGTGTGTGTGTGTGTGTGTGTGTGTGTGTGTGTGTGTGTGTGTGTGTGTGTGTGTGTGTGTGTCTGAACAGAACTGTTGTTGTGCAACACACTTCACCAACATTGCTTAGAATGAGTCTGGTGTGTGTCTGAATGGTGTGTGGTGGTTGGAGGGGCTGATGGCACGGACTGGTTGCCTCAGTGTGCCCCAGGGCAGCTGTGGCTACAGTAGTAGTTTATCACCGCTGTGTATGGAGTGAATGAGTAATGATGTGATGGCAATATGAAGCCCCATGAAGCCTTGAGGGCTCGCAGCCTATTACTCGGCCCATGAGTCGAAGGCTCGAGGTGAATCATGCTCCACTACGCCATCATGTGGACAAAGAAATACATAACACTCTTAAGTGCTTACAATGAATGGTGAGATCTAATGTTAAAATGTATATTTACAATCTATGGTCTAACGTGTTGTGTTTGAAATGATGCTTCATGAACTATGAACTATTTGAGTCTTTCAGTCAATTGTGTTGATACAACAAACACATCCAAAGTAATACAGTTCTACAGAAAGTGATTAATGGAGGAAAAACTACCAAGAGGTGGATTAATTAAACACAACAAACCATTTATTCCCAATAAATAAATACATTTACTTTGCAACACAAAATGTATTATGGGTAGACCGGGATTCGAACGCTATATCTTCTGCTTCGGAGTCCGTCATAGACCGACTGCGCCACACAGCTGTTGTGAAATGTAATATCCAGCGTATTATTACTAATAACTTGAAGCCTTGATATATGAGGTTTTACTAAAGTGAAACGTTTTTAATTGTATTTCATATGAAGTAGTTTCTCTATACTTAGTACAGGACTGCTCCACATCACGCACACACACGTACGCACACACACGTACGCACACACACGTACGCACACACACGTACGCACACACACGTACGCACACACACGTACGCACACACACGTACGTACGCACACACGTACGCTCCTTCTACACCTCCCTCGGCGTCTTCTCCTTCTACACCTCCCTCAGCTTCTTCTCCTCCTTCTACACCTCCCTCGGCGTCTTCTCCTCCTACACCTTCCTCAGCTTCTTCTCCTCCTTCTACACCTTCCTCAGCTTCTTCTCCTCCTTCTACACCTTCCTCAGCTTCTTCTCCTCCTTCTACACCTCCCTCGGCATCTTCTCCTCCTTCTACACCTCCCTCAGCATCTCCTCCTTCTACACCTCCCTCAGCATCTCCTCCTTCTACACCTCCCTCAGCATCTTCTCCTCCTTCTACACCTCCCTCGGCATCTTCTCCTCCTTCTACACCTCCCTCAGCATCTTCTCCTCCTTCTACACCTCCCTCAGCATCTTCTCCTCCTTCTACACCTCCCTCAGCATCTCCTCCTTCTACACCTCCCTCAGCATCTCCTCCTTCTACACCTCCCTCAGCATCTCCTCCTTCTACACCTCCCTCAGCATCTCCTCCTTCTACACCTCCCTCAGCATCTCCTCCTTCTACACTTCCCTCAGCATCTTCTCCTCCTTCTACACCTCCCTCGGCATCTTCTCCTCCTTCTACACCTCCCTCGGCTTCTTCTCCTCCTTCTACACCTCCCTCAGCATCTTCTCCTCCTTCTACACCTCCCTCAGCATCTTCTCCTTCTACACCTCCCTCGGCATCTTCTCCTTCTACACCTCCCTCGGCATCTTCTCCTCCTTCTACACCTCCCTCGGCATCTTCTCCTCCTTCTACATCTCCCTCGGCATCTTCTCCTCCTTCTACACCTCCCTCAGCATCTTCTCCTTCTACACCTCCCTCAGCATCTCCTCCTTCTACACCTCCCTCAGCATCTCCTCCTTCTACACCTCCCTCAGCATCTTCTCCTCCTTCTACACTTCCCTCAGCATCTTCTCCTCCGTCTACACCTCCCTCAGCGTCTTCTCCTCCTTCTACACCTCCCTCAGCTTCTTCTCCTCCTTCTACACCTCCCTCGGCATCTTCTCCTCCTTCTACACCTCCCTCAGCTTCTTCTCCTCCTTCTACACCTCCCTCGGCATCTTCTCCTCCTTCTACACACAGTCTGTTGTAATACCTCCTGTGTCCACCAGGCGCCGCTGCCTTCCTACAGCAGCAGAGACCAGAGAGAGACCAGAGAGAGACCAGGGAGAGACCAGGGAGAGACCAGAGAGAGACCAGAGAGAGAGACCAGGGAGAGACCAGAGAGAGAGACCAGAGAGAGAGACCAGAGAGAGACCAGAGAGAGACCAGAGAGAGACCAGAGAGAGAGACCAGAGAGAGACCAGAGAGAGAGAGCAGAGAGAGACCAGAGAGAGACCAGAGAGAGACCAGAGAGAGACCAGAGAGAGACCAGAGAGAGAGACCAGAGAGAGACCAGAGAGAGACCAGAGAGAGACCAGAGAGAGACCAGAGAGAGAAACCAGAGAGAGACCAGAGAGAGACCAGAGAGAGACCAGAGAGAGACCAGAGAGAGAAACCAGAGAGAGACCAGAGAGAGAGACCAGAGAGAGACCAGAGAGAGACCAGAGAGAGACCAGAGAGAGACCAGAGAGAGACCAGAGAGAGACCAGAGAGAGAGACCAGAGAGAGAGACCAGAGAGAGACCAGAGAGAGACCAATCAGAAGAGTCAAACAGTACAGATATTTAAACAGGAGGACAACAGCATGTTTTGGTCTGATTTCTTCACAACTTTCTTCTTTCTAACGACTTTTTCACTTTAATGAATGAAAACAACACTTTATAAATGTGACCAAATGTGAGTTTTCATAGAAAGTTCCTGTTCCGCTGAGAGCATCCTGGTCTTCATCACATTAAAGCAAGATTGAAGCCAAAGTGTCCAAAGAGAACAGGAGTAGACAGTATCAGAAGTATGTAAACACAGAGGTCTGACTGCTGAATACTCGGCTCTCCTCTCCACAGACACGACTTGGAACTCACTGCTCTCTAATGTACAGCACTGTATGAAGTCACAGCTAAAGTCAAATCTATATTTCATTCAATAAATCATTGTCTGATAAAGAGCAGGCATGTCCAAACTGAGGCCCGAGAGCCAACTGTGGCCTGCTGCATCATCGTATGTGGCCCTCCTCCTCCTCGCTGACCATAAATACCATTGAGACTAGAAACACAAGTGTCATCCAGCCAGCTTCAGCTCTCCCAGAGGGGGATCAACACGGTCATGTCGTATCAAAACAGAGTCCATTCTGGATAGTTTTAGGATCCGTGTTGCCGCCCCTGGACAGGTCCCTCAGGTTGGACACCCCTGAGATGGTCACTGTCCTGGCGTCTCAGGTCCTTTCTGTGGTAATGGAAGTATCAGCGTCAGGATTGGACGCAGCTGTGTCTGTTATGCTGTGGATTTAGGTGTTTTCTACTTTGCTTTTATTTATCAGTTCTCTGTGGTTTGGTTTTAGTTTGACTTCCTGTCCTGCCCCCATGTGGTTCACCTGTGTCTATATGTACCTGTGTCTATATGTACCTGTGTGTCTATATGTACCTGTGTCTATATGTACCTGTGTCTATATGTACCTGTGTGTCTATATGTACCTGTGTCTATACCTGTGTGCCTATATGTACCTGTGTGTCTATATGTACCTGTGTGTCTATATGTACCTGTGTCTATATGTACCTGTGTGTCTATATGTACCTGTGTCTATATGTACATGTGTGTCTATATGTACCTGTGTGTCTATATGTACCTGTGTCTATATGTACCTGTGTGTCTATATGTACCTGTGTGTCTATATGTACATGTGTCTATATGTACCTGTGTCTATATGTACCTGTGTGTCTATATGTACCTGTGTCTATATGTACATGTGTGTCTATATGTACCTGTGTGTCTATATGTACCTGTGTGTCTATATGTACCTGTGTGTCTATATGTACCCGTGTGTCTATATGTACCTGTGTGTCTATATGTACCTGTGTCTATATGTACCTGTGTGTCTATATGTACCTGTGTGTCTATATGTACCTGTGTGTCTATATGTACCTGTGTCTATATGTACCTGTGTGTCTATATGTACCTGTGTCTATATGTACCTGTGTCTATATGTACCTGTGTGTCTATATGTACCTGTGTGTCTATATGTACATGTGTCTATATGTACCTGTGTGTCTATATGTACCTGTGTGTCTATATGTACCTGTGTGTCTATATGTACATGTGTCTATATGTACCTGTGTGTCTATATGTACCTGTGTGTCTATATGTACCTGTGTCTATATGTACCTGCAGCTGGAATATGCTACAACATAGGTCTACAACCAGTAGCTCTCCAGTCCCTTTCAGGTAGCTCTCCAAAGGATTTAGAATTAAACACATTATTATTCTAAGTTCCCACCTCTGCACCTTCTCCACCGACTCCCACTGATGACTGCTGTCGTTGTGTCCTTGGGCAAGACACTTAACCCCACTTTGCCCAAAGCCCCCACTGAAAGATCAAGGCTATGCTCACACTCAGAGAGCAGCCGTCCTCCTGTGGACTCACCACCTGCAGAGGGTCAGTGAGGGGCTGGTGCTATCTCTGACTGCCACCCCCCTGACCCAGAAATGGATTAAAGGGTAGAAAATGGATGGATGGATTATTCTAAGTAAAAATATAGTTCTACAGTTTTATGGAATATTCTACATGTGATTAAATAACTATGACAAAATGAGTAGCTCTCTGCCTCTGCTGCTGTATCACAGTAGCTCTCTTCTGCTGTATCCAAGTAGCTCTCTTCTGCTGTATCCCAGTAGCTCTCTGCCTCTTCTGCTGTATCACAGTAGCTCTCTGCCTCTTCTGCTGTATCCCAGTAGCTCTCTGCCTCTTCTGCTGTGTCACAGTAGCTCTCTGCCTCTTCTGCTGTATCACAGTAGCTCTCTGCCTCTTCTGCTGTATCCCAGTAGCTCTCTGCCTCTTCTGCTGTATCCCAGTAGCTCTCTTCTGCTGTATCACAGTAGCTCTCTGCCTCTTCTGCTGTATCCCAATAGCTCTCTTCTGCTGTATCCCAGTAGCTCTCTTCTGCTGTATCCCAGTAGCTATCTTCTGCTGTATCCCAGTAGCTCTCTGTCTCTTCTGCTGTATCCCAGTAGCTCTCTTCTGCTGTATCACAGTAGCTCTCTTCTGCTGTATCACAGTAGCTCTCTTCTGCTGTATCCCAGTAGCTCTCTTCTGCTGTATCACAGTAGCTCTCTTCTGCTGTATCACAGTAGCTCTCTTCTGCTGTATCCCAGTAGCTCTCTTCTGCTGTATCACAGTAGCTCTCTTCTGCTGTATCCCAGTAGCTCTCTTCTGCTGTATCACAGTAGCTCTCTTCTGCTGTATCCCAGTAGCTCTCTTCTGCTGTATCCCAGTAGCTCTCTTCTGCTGTATCCCAGTAGCTCTCTTCTGCTGTATCACAGTAGCTCTGTTCTGCTGTATCACAGTAGCTCTCTTCTGCTGTATCACAGTAGCTCTCTTCTGCTGTATCCCAGTAGCTCTCTTCTGCTGTATCCCAGTAGCTCTCTTCTGCTGTATCCCAGTAGCTCTCTTCTGCTGTATCCCAGTAGCTCTCTTCTGCTGTATCACAGTAGCTCTCTTCTGCTGTATCACAGTAGCTCTGTTCTGCTGTATCACAGTAGCTCTCTTCTGCTGTATCACAGTAGCTCTCTTCTGCTGTATCACAGTAGCTCTCTGTCTCTTCTGCTGTATCCCAGTAGCTCTCTTCTGCTGTATCCCAGTAGCTCTCTTCTGCTGTATCCCAGTAGCTCTCTTCTGCTGTATCCCAGTAGCTCTCTTCTGCTGTATCCCAGTAGCTCTCTGATAGAAAAAGGTGGAGACCCTGTGCTACAATCATCCACCTCTGGGTAAACTGTGGTGAGGTGTGACACACATGTGGCTTTAATCCATTACAGTCATTTTCTAAAACTATTATGAATGAATTTGTCAGAAGTCAAACTTAAACTCTGACATAGGTCCAGGGCAACAGCAGATATATTTAAAACATCTGAACAAAACACTAAACTCACTTACTCTAATCATAAGACCAACCAAGTATGTGATCATCATCTATTTACAGGGCACATGTGGACACCGGAGCACCTGGAGGAAACCCAGGCAGACACAGGAAGAACATGCAAACTCAACACCAGGACACACCTTCATGTTGTACTTTTCTGAAACGGTTTGTTCAGTTTCACGTCTTGTTTTTACGACACAATGATGTGATCACGACACTGCAGTGGGACAGACACACAACTGTGTCCATTATTCACATTTTAATATTTTACTGACAAACCTTAGAACACACAACTATTTACACTTGTTCAGAATCACAACAACACAAATGACTGTTGGTTCAATATAGAACATCACTAAATGTTTACAATTATGTCACGCATTTGTAACCCGTAAATTATAGATCCATGTGTGTAACAGAATAATATTATAGATCCATGTGTGTAACAGAATAATATTATAGATCCATGTGTGTAACAGAATAATATTATAGATCCATGTGTGTAACAGAATAATATTATAGATCCATGTGTGTAACAGAATAATATTATAGATCCATGTGTGTAACAGAATAATATTATAGATCCATGTGTGTAACAGAATAATATTATAGATCCATGTGTGTAACAGAATAATATTATAGATCCATGTGTGTGACAGAATAATATTATAGATCCATGTGTGTGACAGAATAATATTATAGATCCATGTGTGTAACAGAATAATATTATAGATCCATGTGTGTAACAGAATAATATTATAGATCCATGTGTGTAACAGAATAATATTATAGATCCATGTGTGTAACAGAATAATATTATAGATCCATGTGTGTAACAGAATAATATTATAGATCCATGTGTGTAACAGAATAATATTATAGATCCATGTGTGTAACAGAATAATATTATAGATCCATGTGTGTAACAGAATAATAGTATAGATCCATGTGTGTAACAGAATAATATTATAGATCCATGTGTGTAACAGAATAATATTATAGATCCATGTGTGTAACAGAATAATATTATAGATCCATGTGTGTAACAGAATAATATTATAGATCCATGTGTGTAACAGAATAATATTATAGATCCATGTGTGTAACAGAATAATAGTATAGATCCATGTGTGTGACAGAATAATATTATAGATCCATGTGTGTAACAGAATAATATTATAGATCCATGTGTGTAACAGAATAATATTATAGATCCATGTGTGTAACAGAATAATATTATAGATCCATGTGTGTAACAGAATAATATTATAGATCCATGTGTGTAACAGAATAATATTATAGATCCATGTGTGTAACAGAATAATATTATAGATCCATGTGTGTAACCAGTGCCATTAAATGCATGTGAATTGAGGACACAGCGCCCTCTTGTGGCGGCCGCTGCACCTGCACCTTTGCTTCGCGGGAAAGGCCCGAGTCCTTTCGCTGCTGGAGAACTCAGAGGAAACATGTCCGTGAATCTGTGAGAGAAATATGGTTTTACTCATGTGTCCCTTTGGAATGCTCAGCGGGTCATTCATGGTTGTGTGTTATTCAGCTGGTGTGTGTTTCTATGTTTTAGGAAAGTCTCTGTCAAAGATATTTAATTTAACCCTGTTTTTCTGTCTGAGGACCTGGCATAGCATGCGGCTAACAGTTAGTGGCTAACGGTTAGTGGCTAACAGTTAGTGGCTAACAGTTAGTGGCTAACGGTTAGTGGCTAACGGTTAGTGGCTAACGGTTAGTGGCTAACGGTTAGTGGCTAACGGTTAGTGGCTAACGGTTAGTGGCTAACGGTTAGTGGCTAACGGTTAGTGGCTAACGGTTAGTGGCTAACGGTTAGTGGCTAACGGTTAGTGGCTAACGGTTAGTGGCTAACGGTTAGTGGCTAACGGTTAGTGGCTAACGGTTAGTGGCTAACGGTTAGTGGCTAACGGTTAGTGGCTAACGGTTAGTGGCTAACGGTTAGTGGCTAACGGTTAGAGGCTAACGGTTAGTGGCTAACGGTTAGTGGCTAACGGTTAGTGGCTAACGGTTAGTAGCTAACGGTTAGTGGCTAACGGTTAGTAGCCAACGGTTAGAGGCTAACGGTTAGTGGCTAACGGTTAGTGGCTAACGGTTAGTGGCTAACGGTTAGTGGCTAACATTAGCAGCTAACGGTTAGTGGCTAACGGTTTGCGGCTAACGGTTAGTGGCTAACGGTTAGTGGCTAACGGTTAGTGGCTAACGGTTAGTGGCTAACGGTTAGTGGCTAACGGTTAGTGGCTAACGGTTAGTGGCTAACGGTTAGTGGCTAACGGTTAGTGGCTAACGGTTAGAGGCTAACGGTTAGTGGCTAACGGTTAGTGGCTAACGGTTAGTGGCTAACGGTTAGTAGC